TGAGTTAGGCACATCTTAGTCTTCAAGGACACATCTTTGCTTTTCAGCACTTCAAAGAGGTCTTTTGCAGCAGATTTGCCCAGTGCTATATGACATTTGATTTCCTGACTATTGTTTTCATTGGTGTTGATTGTGGATCCAAGTAACATGAAATCTTTGACAACTTCAATCTTTTCTCTATTTATTATGATGCTGCTTATTGGTCCATTTGTGAGGATTTTTGTTTTATTTATGTTGATGTGTAATCCATAATCCAGAGTGTAGTCTCTAATCTTCAACCTAAGTGCTTCAAGTCATCTTCATTTTCATCAAGCAAAGTTGTGTCTTCTGCATATCTCAGCTTGTTAATGAGTCTTCCTTTAATCCTGATACTGTGCTCTTCTTCATATAGTCCAGCTTCTTGGATTATTTGCTCAACATAAAAATTGAATAAGTGTGGTGAAAGGATACAACCCTGACACACATCCTTTCTTATCTTAAACCATGCAGTATCTCCTTATTCTGTTTGAATGATAGCCTCCTAGCCTATGTACAAGTTCCTCATGAACACGATTAAGTGTTCTGGAATTACTATTCTTTGCAATGTTATCCATGATTTGTTATGATTCACACAGCTGCATAGTCAGTAAAACATAAGTAAACATGTTTCTGGGATTGAGTTCAGTTCCTGGCTTGAAGGGCGTCTAAGGGCTATAGACTCAGGGGCTCCATCAGTCTTCATTAGATCAGCAAGTGTGATCCTTTTTTAATGATTTTGTGTTTTGTTCCACATTTCCCCTGACTCTATCTGCTACCTTCTATTGTGATCCTTTTCAGAGTGGTCTGCAATGGTAACCAAGAACGATATAGATTTTCTGGTCTCAGGGTCATGGAGGCTGGAATTCATATGGTCCACTAGTCCTTTAGACTAATTATTTCCCCACATCTTTGATTTTCTTCACCCTTCTTTGTTCCAGATGGGGAGAGACCAATAGTTGCACCTTAGATGGTCGCTCACATGCTTTTAAGACCCTAGTTCCTACTCACCAAAGTAAGGTGTAGAACACGGTCTTTGTGGACTATGTTATATCAATTGATATTGATGTCCCCTGAAACTATGGTCTTGGGTCCCCATGCCTAGCAACTCATTCCCTCAAGGTATTCAGTTATGACTAAGAAGTTTTCATAACTTTGCCCCCTGTATGATCTACTACATTTATGGATGTATTTGCAGCACATACAAATACATAGGTAGAGATATCCTTTGTCAAATCTATACATATTCATGAGTGTAGTTCCAGTCACCTTCCCATTCCTGTGCAGATTGTCTATCTATGCATACACTTTTTTTTTTTCTTTAACAATGTAGAATCGTTTCTTCCAAAGAAAAACCATACAAACCTAGTATATTAAACAAACAAATATACCAGGATCTTTTCTGACTAAAGTAGAAGGAACAGAGTCCTGCCAGCTCAGTGTCTCTTCAGACACAACGATTTTGAGAGGTTCTACACAGCTCCAAGCCATTTATTATGCATCATGCATAAACTGAAATCACTAACAATGAGTTGCTCAACAATGCATATAGCTCTTTAGTGGTAGAGTAGGGGTTTCATTTGGGTTGCATAGTCATCAGTCTGGAGCTTTTTATTTATTTATTTATTTCTGTGTTGTTTTATGACACAGAAGTTCAGAAAAGATGAGTTTACTACCTGGGTCACAAAAATCACTCAGATGACAGAGATTTAGCTAATCTTTTACTCTTTAATGTTTGCCACTGCCTCCAAATTCCCAAAGCATTTTTTTTTTCCCCAGGGTTCCAAGGAAATAGTCTCTCAGAAACAAGAGAAACCATATGTACCTTATTCTTTTCTTCCTATTGAAATTTATCTCATCTTTATGATTTCACTTTTAAAATCCTACTAGAAAAGCTTTTTAGAGAAGGATACATTATTTTATTTTACCTTATCTTAAAATATTCACCTCTATCTCCTTTCATACTAACCTAAGCAGATGGGAAAAAACATATTTCAATAAATCTAATCCAATTTTGTCCTAATGGAATAAAACAGGACAATTCCTTTTTTATACACTCAACTTCAGAGTTCATAGCTCCATATCTGTTTAGATGTTAAGATACCACCAAACTTGTTGCTGTCAAGTTGATTCTGACTCATAGTGATCCTACAGGACAGAATAGAACTGCCTTATAGGGTATTCAAGGCTAAAATTGTTATGGAAGCAGACTGCCACATCTTTTTCCTGCACAGCCAGTGATGAGTTTGAACCATTGACTTTTCAGTTAGTAGCTGACTGCTTCACCATGCACCATGGTAGAGATTTTAGAAATAGATGACAGATGTTAAGTCAGGCAGATGTTTCTTCTCAGATGCTTGAATATTCTTCTCTGACAGAGTTATGCATTTCGACAACTGAATATTTTAGTACAGAAGTCAAGAAAAAAATACATTATTTTTTTCTCTTTCTCAAAGAAAGTCTGTATCTTGGATTTGGAAATTTGATGCTTCCCTTGGCTTATTTTTTAATTGAGATTCCACTCCCCAATCTTCTAGAAGTTAAAAGAGCATCTCCTGTCTTGAGAAAACAGTTTTTAATTTCTCCTCATCTTTCATTATATTTTTCAAGAATCCAAGGTAAGATCTTTGTGACATTGCCTAAAGAAGAATTTAAAAAGTGCAAAAATAAATACACCATCAAGCTGTCTGATTAAGCAATAGCTCCTTAGATCATAAAATTCTTTAAAAAAATATGCCATGGTATTTTTATTGAGTTTATGAGCTGAAAGGCATTTACAATTCCAAGAACAACAACAAAAATAATAAAAAGAAACACACATGTGTTGTTACTAAAAAAGGCACCAAAGATATGTACTAGGCAGGATTGTTCCTGGGAAAAATTATGGAGCAGATGAAATCTGTGTTTATCATTTTTCCACACCTTATTCTGAGCCCCTCTTCCCTCTCTGCTCCGCCCACCACCAGTGGTGGTGCTACATCATTTCTCTCTGGGATTCCTGACTGTGTTAGCCTATGGCTCGCATTAGGTCTTTCTTAGCCTGAATTTCCCCTTCCCACCAACACTTACACTTCTTCTAGAGGCCTGGGCTAAAAAATGCATACTAAAGTATTAATAATAGTTGATATCTTTCTCATATAACATCATATTTGTTAATAATTCGCAGGAAGGTAACCATATTTTCTCATCACTTATAACTTGGCTTCTCTGTAAACTCAGTCTTGATGATAGGGAAAAAGAGATGAGTATTCTGAAATGAATAGAAACTACCAAATACCCTAGAAAAGCAAGCATAGGACAAATGCTGAGTACCTCACAAATAAGTATAACTTAGAAACAAAGAAGTCAGAAAATAAAGGGGCCAGTGCCAGTGCTGTCATCTGTGATAGTATCTTTTATAAGCCTCATAGGTCTCTCTGTGTCTGAGCTTTTTCAGTTGTAAAATGAGGAATAATAATATCTGCCAGTTATTGGGAGGATTCTGTGAAAGAATATAAGTGACATTATATTCGTCAGTGTCTGGAATGATGACACTTAATAGAGTTTTGGGGGAATTCCCTAAGGCTTTCTATTTGTTCTAGTAAAAACCCTTGCACAATTTTGGAATTGGGAGGGCAGGACAGAGGAGACAGAGGAAAAACAAGTACTTTATCACTACTATAAAACTGGAGGAAAAAAAGACTTAATTTGCCAAGGCTTAAGATCATGTGAGACTTCTGGTTCATTCTCTTTCTTCAAGTAGCACTTCATAATGTGTCAGTACATTTATCTATTATGTTGAGGATGAGGTGATATAGCATTATTTTCATCATTGTCAAAGAAGTTAGTGATTAGTAAATGATGTGGATGGTGAGATGGCCAGTTTGTACATAATTTATGACATATGTTGTATTCTTCGAGGTAGAGCCTTTTGCTTAATCCTTGCAAACTCGACTGAGCTGACTGGGGCAGAGGCCATTATTGAGAAGATATTTGGTAATCTGGAGGTTAGAAGCCAAAGTAAGAGAAATACAGAAAAAGTGTGAAGATCACAAAACTTGTAAATCACTGCTTTCTCTCCCGGCCTGCCTGCATGAATAGTTTACTCACTAGCAGTTACCCAGTCTTTACAGAGCCCCATATGGAAATAATGAAGCACAGAAGTCTGGACATTGTGGTATATGGGAAAGAGGAAGGATAGAGCCTCCGCTTTCAAAGAGCTATGATCTCTCTGAAGAGACACACATGCCTAAGTGTTAACTCATAACATTAAAAAGCTGAATAAGACCAACAGTGTCCAGAAGAAAAAGAAATTATCTTTGGTAGAGGCATAGAGGATGACTCTCAAAATAGGAGAATACCTCCAAAGGCAAGAAAATTTAGAGAAGTACAAAGATAATAATATTGGGGAGCACCCATCTTTAAAGATAATGCAACAAACAGGATGGAACAGTAAAGTAAAAGAGTAAAATGACCAGAGATTCTCTATTTGAAAGAATACAACAAATATGAAATAATAATGAAATAATTGAAGCATTTAAGCATTTCTCATTGTTTATTCACCTCTTACATTTGGCCTGAGGTGAGAAAATGTGTTAAATGTAACTATTTTGAAACAACTGCAATTTAGGATCAGATACTGTTAACTTGTAATAGATTTGTAATTTCATCCTGGAGCTTTGCATTATTCTACAGGAGTAAAGTCAGCTCTGTGAATAAAGATAAAGAATATTCAATCAAAGTAAGTTTCAGACAATACAAATCATTCCCATACAGATACTTTATGACAGAAATTTCATGGCTTATGTGGTACATGGAAAATGCCTTTCCTCTTCAGCCCTTGGGAGGGCTGATAATCAGTGTCTTGGTTTGTCCCTCTCTCAAGCCATGTTTACACACCTCAAATTATGCACTGGGACTGTAAGGGGATCTGTGTGTGTGTGTGTGTGTGTGTATGTGTATAGGAACTGATTCACTGAGTACTTGAGAATGAAGGCAGTACTCACCGGAGGGCCCATTTGTCCTGGTCTACCCGTGGGCCCGGTAGTTCCTGGTAAGCCCAACTCTCCTTTTTCTCCATCTTCTCCAGGGAGTCCTCTTCCTCCACAGATCCCCTACAATGCAATAACATTTTTTTTTTTT